TTCCTTCACAAGTTCTTACAGTGGATTTAACAATCACACTCTTCCTCTGGTTTCGAGCTGTAACGGATATTTGTCACACTGGATTCTCTTCACAGAGAATCGCTGCTTTTTCAGAAGAACTCAGTGAAAGTCTCTGCATGAAAAATTCATACGAGGCCTGAGTGTGTGTGTGTGTGTGTGTGTTTCCAGTGAGAAATCTCAAGGTTAGCTAAGACAACACAGAGTTTCAAGTATTGTAGATGAAACTCGCCCCATGACACGACGATCAGTAGCTAGAAGAGAAGGAGATTCACGACGTGCCCCGCAGCGACGAGCAGAGATACACATCCCTCCGCACTGAGGAAAATATCACAAAGAGATCAGATGGCTCCGAGCTTTCCACGCCAACCTGATTTCCTTAACGTCATGTAAACTAGAGATGCTTTTCCTTATTTGAGGAGAGATGAAGGAGAAAGTGGGTTTGCTGTGTTTTTACTGGAGGAATCTGATTTCCTGGACTCGTGCTGCCTGCGCTTAACCAGATTTCCTTTGAGTTCTTGCAGCAGAGCATGAAAAAGGCTTGACGCTGAGACAGCAGCACGGCAGGATGAACAGAAAAGATCATTACCAGCAGCGGTGCATCTTTGTTTCCCCCCCCCGAATATACATGTATATCTTCAGGAAGGGAAGTAGGGAAGTCCCATACTTCAATAAAATGAGTGGGTTCTTAAAAAAGAGAAGTAGAGCAGAAATATCTACTGCTTCCTGTTAAGAACCCACAGATCTATAGACTTTATATAAAGATGGACGACATGACGGCTCTTCAAAAGTGAAGCCAGATCGACTCGGTTGCCCCCTGGTGGCTGGCCATTAACCCGGCCTCCTCCGTGTTAGCAGATGGACCAAACTAAAAAGTCGAAACACAGGTGAAATATATATTTTTCTCGAAGATGGTTCCTGTCACTTTTTCTTATCGCACTGATGCGTGTTCACGTTTCTGTGAAAGACGATCGGTTGATGACACCACGGCTTCCGCTCCACGATCACTACTGCAACGACTCAAGAGTGCAAGATCCCGTATCCAGGATGTATCGGATTCATTTTCATACAACGGGAGGGATCGGAGACGCATCGTCCATCTTTACATTGGAGGGTCCGATCATAGGTAATAGCCACCATCCCTCAACGCTACGAGGGTTCGGAGTGTGGTGTCTTTTGTTTTTAGATTTTAAAACAAAGCTGCTTTGTTTTATTTTCTTCATGGTTCATCTGCTGGGGATGATGATTTTGCCCGAGAGCTTTTTGCTTTAGCTTCAGTCTTTTACCACATTTAAAAAGGATCTCATTTTAAAACTGGTGACCTGGATACAATAAAAAAAGAAACTCGGCTAACAATTAACACAGTGGTTCAATTAATGCAAAATGGAGGATTCCTTGTTTTAAACCTGCCACAGTAACGACCCGTCTGTACAGTCATCCCTCTTTCCTGTCGCGCTCACCTGTTTTAGCTGAGTCTCTGAGTTGACATGCACATCACACGTCTCACAGTGAAACGTTTTGTTCTGCAGACCCGTCAATGATTTTGTCAACGTGGCCACTTTGCTCTTGACTCCCAGCCGGGGGAAGGACTTGATGGAGCCCACGCCGCTCCTGGCCTCCAGCATCGTCTTGTGCTTCGTACCTGAAGGAGAGAGGTCAGAGGTCAGAGGCCTCTCTGAGATGGAAAATTGTGACGTGAGAAATAAACCTAGTAGAATGTTGCTTATCAAAAATCTATGAAGCACAGCTCCGTCGTGTCCTAGATTCTTGACTTTTGACTCGGAACTGTAAAACCAGTCCACCTCATGTGAAGATGAAACATCAGGGAACACAAACAATATATTATTAAAGGACAAATACAACAAACAGGCTTAAGAGGCCGCAAATGATTCATGATGCATTTCCAAGGAAAGACACCAACCACAGCAGAGACTCCAGGATGGAGCCAGTGACCCATACTGGTGTATCGATGAACCAGTTGTAGCGCAGTCGGCTCCACGGGTTTTAGCTTCTTATTCCCTCGGCCTGTCATCAATCGTCTCCTGATGCTTTCGCTTAATTTTGACGGTAAAGGACGGACCGATAATGCTGTCACATGACTCACCGCTGTTGTGAGCCTCCAGCTGCGACGCCGAGTTGACGGCCACTTTGCAGAGCGAGCAGTAGAGGAGACGTCGAGCCTTCTCCTGCTCCGTTTCCGCATCCGTCTCCGCCTCGGGTTCGGCCTCGGGCTCCGGGTCTGGTTCTGGGGGCGAGTCGAGCTTGAGCTGCTTCTCGTCCCCTCCAGCAGCTGAGGTAGACTCCGGGGCTGTTGCTGCCGCGCTGTGCGGGACTATCGGCGAGGCCGCGGGCGCCGGCATCGTAGGGGTCGCCAGGAGTTGTGCCGTTCTGAGCACGGGGGACAGCGGGAGGGGCACCGCATCAGGGACGACATCTGTAGAGAGAAATACACGTGGCGTCATTCAACATCTATCGACAAGTGGCTCAACTAGAATAGTGACTTCATTTCTTCTTGACTTTGCATTGACCTGTTTAGATTTTAGCGACGAGCAATTAAATTATGAGATTTCCAGACCAAAGTTATGACTTTAACTGTTGACCTTTCTCACCTGTCTGTTATTTAGCAGCATTACGTGAAAAGATAAAACTCGATGGACGGGTTTGGTTTGCTTCAGGGAAGAATCTAATTATTTTTCCAACATTTTTGCAGATTTCTCCGAATAATTCATGCATTCTGGACGACTGATATTTATGAGAGAATTCAAATGTGGTTTCATTGTGGGACCGTTGCACCACAGTGAGTCACTCTAGTTTCCCCGCTGTTTCCAGTGCTTGAGAGTTCATGTTTTGCCGTCTGAGTTTCATCATACATGACTGCATGATTAAATAATCTTCTCTGCATTAATAAACGATCCTGTTTCTAAAAATGTCGCAAAACTAAATAATAAACCAGAACAAACCGGCTCTGATCCAGAGTGAGATCACATTAACATGTCGTACAGATAACCTGCTGTTCCCCGAGAGCCGTCTGATATTTTTATGAAGAGGATCAATACATTTGACTCATAAAGCAAGGCCACGTGTCGGTGTATGGAATACAGAGGACCGCTGCCGCATTTACGAAAATGAAATTTTGCCTCGCCGGCTGGACCTGATCGATGCCGCTGCCTCCGAGTTCTCCCCCACTCCGGTGTCACGGAATGAAGATCAGACAGCCAGGAGAGCAAATCAATAGTGAATTATGTCATGCTATTTTTGTGAGCCATTATATACGGTCCTTATTTATCCCAGCGGAGGTGTCGGCAGTTGGCGCCGCGAAAGTGTTCGAAGTTGCATTGTGACGGGTTCACTTCTGCCAAAGGTTAAAAAACACATCAGAGGTCGGAGCAGCGTTAACGTCTCTGGTGTGAACTGTGGTGAAAGAAGTGCACACGTCCTTTACATCACAGAGTCGGAAGGAGCTTGAGGAGAAATTAGGCTTTTATTCAAACTGAGGTTGTTTACACTTGTTGTTTTTATGCACTGATGAAATGTTTCACTCGGTGTTTGAGAGCATCACATCCATTAACCTTTTGAGGCCTTGTGAAATGGGGTCTTGGCACATTTATACTTGTTATTCTCTCATCTTCTTCTTTAAAAGACTCCGGCTTCGACATTCATGAAACTTTGTGCATGTTTGAACGCATCTTTAAAGCAGCGAGAGGGAGCAAGTGAAAGATAAGTGTGTAAAAAAACACACTAAGGTGCAGTCGGGTAAAAGCCTCAACAATATAAAACAAATAAAATGATTTTCTGCAGTATTTGTGTAGAGTCTAAATGAAACAACAGTAAAAATGGACGTCAGGCTATAGCTGCTATTCAGGAAAGACGAATCCTTCCTCGTCCTCCAATCCCGAAAACCATTAAAACCATTACAACCATTCTGAAGCTGCTGTTTTAAGGTTAAATAAAAAGTTGCTCTTAAATCAGCCCAACATTTCTTTACCCTTGAATAAAAGCAACTGCATCCTTGCCTTTTCGTCAGCTCTTCCAGGTCCCTGCTGCAGCGGCAGTCGGCTTCTCCTCTCACCACTTAATAAAAGGTTCATTTTTATATCTCGGTTTCCTTTTGGTGTTCTTTCTCTTATGCACAGTGCTACTTAGAGAATCTTACCTGATAAGACACTGCACGTAAGGCAAGGTCAGGCCGAGGTTAACAAAGTCCAATACTTGTCTGCATTATAGGACCGGGCCCCTTTTTTATCGTCTGCAGTAACCATAGCAACCAAGGTTGATCTTGGGGGGGGGTTGTGTAGATAACAAGTGATGGACGACCTAAACATCAGGGCAGATGTGCCACTCTGACGCTCTGAGGGACTGAGCTAAACGTCCCTTTTCTTAGTGATGCAGTCGTCCAATAGAGCAGCTTCACATATAATTGAATTATAAAGAGCCATGTTATTCAAATGTGGTTTTGGGGGATGTGCATATAAATATACATTTTCCAAATATTGCGTAGATTTTTCGAAGTGGCCAATGTCTGATAACGTCCAAGTCTCCTATCAACAGAAGATAATCCCATCTCATTGGGTCGGGGGGGAGTCAGACGTTATGATGGAGACAATTAACCGTACAGAAATGTGACTTGGAATTAAGTTAAAATCTCAAACATGATGGAAAAACAGTGAGCACGAATGTCAACGCTGGCTGATTCCCTCAGATTACCAGGAGCGAAGTAACACGGCATCGAAATAATCAGTTACTTTGACAACTTGGCCTCAAGTTTCCCCATTTTCTGACCTTTAGGTGGAACATTAAGTTGAATCTTTGCCGTAAACTCGGCGGTTCAGTGCAGTGTCTGCATCGCTGCAGCCCGTCAATGTCACTCCATCTCGTCACCAGACAACAAAACCCCCAAGGTGCTTGAACCTAAGAGACCGTCTGACTGTTGAGACGCAGTTTTATCACAAAGAAGAAAAGCTTCTAGGAAATCAAGACTGAGGTTGAGAGATGGTTCGGATGCACATCAACATTAATGTATCCTCCATTTTTAATGGGACACTCAGTGAACGCACGTTTCTCCCAAGGCTCTTTAAACCACATTTAAATTCACTAGATCCAGATTTTTATTTGGATCAGCACCAAATTGCGCACACTAATAAAAAACAATCCCTGATGGATTTTTTTTTCCCCGAGATCCATAAATTATTCAGAGAAATTAATGAAAATGTTGAGATGACACCGACATAAAATGAAAAGGTGCGACCTAGCGAAGCGATTCCGTGCTCGTCCGTCCTGTGGTGTTTGTTCCCATCAGACAAACAAAATGAAACCATAACCACCTTAGCAGCGGTGATTATACGTTCGTTTATCATGTTTGTGGTCAGTGAAACCGCATTAGGCAGCTGCTGCAGCTCTTTAACACTATTTACTATCCGTCACTGACAGGATCCGTCCATCACGCGACCAGGTGACCTTAAGCAAGGGCGCGTATCGATCACCGTTACCACCGACACCTCAGACGGCTCCTCTCACTGCAGAAAGGCAGCGGGTCTGAGCTCCTCGTCTCCTCCTCTGTCGCTCACGGTGCTTTCGCACCACTGAGGATCAGGCGTTGGTGGATCAGCGTGTTGCACCCACGATTAAATCACCTCCACCTGAAGGTCTGTGTTCAGTGGACTGAACCAAAGGAGAACGTCTGGAGAGAACAGGACATTATTCTGAGTCGTTCTCCTCATTACACCGAATGGAACGTTTATTTAAACTCTGAAAACAGGAACTGCGACTTCACGTATTAGTTCGTTTATATTGTGTGTGTACTGCAAGAGCGCAGTAATCTGATTACAATGAAGAGGACATGATTCTTACTTTTGAACCACAAGTCAAATTCCATGTTGGCAGTTTCAAACATGAAAGTCCAGGTCATCACCAGAATAACGATCATTAATTCGTGAACTATTCGTGATGCCTCTGACCCGGTTGCTCCTGATGAATAACGTAGAGTGTGGCAGCGCCCCCTCCGCCCCCAGCAATTAACCACCACCTCCTCCCAGTCCAGTCAGCTGTGCCAGGCATCACAACAACCTGAAATCACAGCGATTGACTCACTCGATCTCACCGGCGTCCGACAGGCTGCCATCACACCTGCTTCTCTGGGCAGCTCTTCAGTGGCTCGACCACCTGACTGAGCGCGGGGCCAGAAAAGTGAAAGGTTCAGCGTTGGCGTGAGCCAGAGCTTCGTTTCCTGCGAGCAGCGTTTGGCATCATGCTTTTACCACGAGGGCTGAAATAAATAATTTAACACCAGGAACAGTCTTGCAGTGATAATCAAGACATCGCCTGGTCTTTGTTAGGGATTATTTTCTGGTGCTGACTCTGTTCAGCTGCACCTCCCCTCGTTTAGGGTTTTTCTGGCGTGCATTCATCACGAGCTGCGAAACACAATCTGCATCAATTTCTCTCCAGGGATTTTCCTCTCTGGCACAGACGGACCCAAAATGTACCCATTGTTCAGAGCAGCCATTACACCAGTATCTCCCTGACATCAGTCTTACAAGGTTTGTAACATCAGTCCAGGAGAGAAAACACCTATCGCTCAGAGGATTGACGCGCTCTCGTTGGGAAACCTCGCCAGGAGCCATTATTAAAAAATACTCCCCGATTTTGGCAATCTGCTTGTTTGCTCTGAGACGTGAAGTGTGCAGATCAATATCAATTTCATCTTTGTGAATTCAGAACAGACTTGGCTCAATGATTTGTTTGGCATAACTTGGCTCAGACTGCAAGGAGGAAAAATAGTTCGGTTCCAAAAAGAAGAAACACAAAGCGTCCAACAAATCTAATGTTGAGCATAAAATGTTATTCTTCACCTGGGAAACGGTACTTTGTCTTCTCGTCAGCTCAGTTTGTTTTGTGTGAGTTCGATTAAACCAGTCAACAACACGTGTCTCACCTCTGACACTACAGCGAGCGGTTCACACATTTTGGTCGAACCTGCTCAACGGAAGCTATTTCCAATTCCCCTTTTTCTTCCCCCAGCGAGTCATGTTCAACGTCTTCTGGAAACTGAGAAGATCTCTCACCTCTCTGTGTCGCCCGAGCGGCATGATGCAAAGAAATAAATCACTGTTGCACGTTGTTCGCAAGATGTAACAAACAATAAGTACAGGAAACGCAAGGGAACAGAAGTAGCAGCGTCAGCTCTGGCATTAAAAACTTCTGTTACAGAGTCACGTGACCTGGAAGCAGCCGCTCTGCGGAACCATGGGATTCAAACAAAGAACCTTTTCTGAGGTGATGGGGCCAACCACTGCGCCACCGCAACGGGCTGTTCCATTCAGCGAGGACTAAACAGTGGTATCATGTTTGTGCTGTAAATGAGTAATAATCAGCACGGAGAAGAAAGCGTCTGTCTCTATCTGCTCTCTGCAGAGCCGCGCTGCCGAGGCCTGTGCT